TATCTGCTTGGATGGTTTGTTAGTTTAGTTACAGTAGCTGTTAGGGACACGTCTGCACAGAACGTATTCACTCCTGTTTGGTTCATGAAACACTTTTCCATACGCTTCACCTGTACCTTTTCCCCAAGTTTCATGGACCCTCCCACCTGCTTGGCAGAGCTGTGCTCTGAGCTGTACCGTTTGAGACAAGGCCTTTAGATTAGTTAATTATGCTGCCCTGGGACTTGTACGAACTCACAGTGCCCACGGCCCAAGGCTGTTAGGCCACTGGCCAGCACTGTGCTGCTGCTTAAAGCCTCCCAGAAGGCCTGTCTCACCCGCGACCATTGCAGTGGCTGAGTTTATCAGCCTCGCTTTTTTTGTTTTGCTTTACAATTTTGCAGGTGACCCTTTGAACACCCTAACTAGCCTCAAAGGAGGTCTTCAGGCCAGCTTGTCTTTCTAAGAGGGTCTGTGGTTCCCAGCTGAGTAATTTGAACGGTGCTTTCAGTGTGTCTGCATAGGGCTCTAATATCAGACAGTGCCAATTTGGGGAGGTGACTGTTTGGGGGAAATCCCTTGTCTTCCACCTGGGCATACACAGAACTTGCCGCATCCTACACGGCCGGACACCACCCTGGGTGAGCCAGACGGTGTGCCCCTGCTGGAGCTGGCGTTCAGGGTCGAAACCCTCTGCGGAGGAGGCTCCAGGCAGCACGAGGCTGGTGCCAGTCAGAGCCCTGGGAAGGTTAAAGGAAGGACGTCATCACAATTAAAGAACTGTAGAAAGCTCAGGAGGTACTTTTGCTGGTGTAAAACATAGGCACTAGAGCCTGATTAGTTCGTTGCAGGTACTTGGGGATGTATTTCAGTTGGAAACCTCTGTGTATCTTCAGCCCGTGTGCTGGGACCCAGTAATGGGAACAGTCAAATCATGTGGAGAATCACACAGACATCTATTACGTGTTTTATCTCATAAACACACACACGTGCATTTACCATTTTTTGATGCAAGACTTTTCTTTGAGTTCCAAGTTGTCCTTCTAGTTTAAACCACAGTCAAAATTTATGATCTTCTATTTATTTCTTTCAAATGGACTGAGAATGAACAGGCTCTTCAAAGAATTCTGAGTGGAGGGAGATTTTAAATAATTCCCCCTCGATATTTCCTGTTTTTGCTCTTGCCAATTTAACAGTTTGAAAAGAGGTCTCTTGCTGAGTCGTTCCTAAGTGGGCACCATGGTTTTCCAAAGAGTGAGGCTTTTTTGCACTCAGACTTCTTTGGTCTACATAATATTTAATTAAAGTTTATATTTGTATATAAGTGTATAAAGTACACGTGCAGAAACGTGCTTGGGAATCCACACAGTGGATTCCTGGTGAACATGGGCCTCCCCTGGAGGGACAGGTCTGTGGGGATGGACACCCAGGCCGTCCTGGGGAGGCAGTGGGGCGGTGGCTGGCCCAGCTGCTCCGTGAGTCTGGAGGGCATCACCGTGTTCTGTCATCCACAGCTGGGCAGCTTGTGTAGAGATTCTCTGATTGACGGTGGCCAGGTGCTGCCACCGTCCTGAGAAGTGGTGGCCTCATGACTGCTCTGAGACCCAGAGAGACTGCTGTTTGGGCAAAGTCAGGGAGCCGGCGAGGCTCAGGCCCGGCCCCCCGTGTCCAGCTCTGCTGCGTCGGCAGGGCTGCTCCTGTGGTTTGGTCTTGGGTGTAACGGGGGCTCCAGAGAAAAGCTCCGGCCGCTCCTGGACAGGGGCGCAGGTGGCTGTGGTCCGAACGCAAGGGCAGGTGCCTGCCCTTGTGATGGCAAAGTCGTCTGGGACGTGTCTGCAGAGGGCCCTGGGTGTGGCGCCGATCGCGCCCGCGGGTGTGGGGCCAGGTGGGCCGTGCGGGTGCCCGTTCTTCCTGACGAGCAGCTGGTCACGTGGATGCGGAGCCAAGGCTCTGAGACCCCTCGCTCAGGGGCCCCGGGCTTGGGGTAGACTCTGGACCCACTAGCTCCTGGCTGCCTGCTCAGAAGCCTCTCACGGCCACCACCAGTCAGTCAGCGCCCTGGCCGAGTCGTGGTGACTGGATTCTTGAGTGTTGACGTCTAACCCGAGGGCCTCAGTCTGTTTGTTTCACCTTTAACTTGCTTCCAGGTTCTATCTTTGTTGTTGGAGGCAGTGTTCTCGAGCCTTACAAGCGCCACTGGAGTGAAGGCAAGGCATCCGGGAGGAGTCCTGGTCTGCACC